ATCTCTTCTCCATTGATAAGAATGTTGTTTATTGGTCCAGTGGTGAGGATTTTTGTTTTCTTTACATTGAGTTGTAATCCATACGTAAGGCTGTGTTCTTTGATCTTCCTCCTAGTGGTTCCTATTTACATTCCACCCACCTTCCTAGCCCTTCTCAACACTGTCCTTAGGCATCTGTTGCCCTTTTGATTTTGAATGATTGACCATTTCATGGTGAGTATACCTTGCCAGTGTTGTTGTCTCTCCTTATAAACTCATCTACTGCTTGGTGAAAATTAGGCTACAAGGGTGGGTTCCTTTCCAGATCATCTCAGGTCAGGTTCCTCCATTCTCTTTCTGACCAGTAAACCTGGGCTTTTTCTTTTCTTTTTTTGATTAAATAATTTTGAATTTTGTTCCACATTTCCCCCCACTCTACCCGGGACCCTCTAATGTAATCCCTATCAGGGTAGTTGGTAGCTGGGCACCATCTAATCCTTCTGATCTTAGACACTGATGTTCAATGTTCCATTTGTCCATCCAACTAATTGATTCCAAGCCTCTTCCATTCTTATCACATGGAGAGACCAGAAGCTGCACCTGTTGGGTTGCTTTTCATGCTCTTCTTACTTGCTGTTAATCTGTAGCAAATCAAGTTAGTCAGCCTTTCAGGGCTTCATTTTTCCTGCCTACAACATGTGGCAGTTGGACAGGATATTTCTTAAAGCCTTTCTAACTCTGTGCTGCTTTGACCTTTCAAGATCAGTTCTGTTTCCCAAGGTCCTGCTGGTCCCAGGAAGCTCCAGGTGTCTCTGTAACTGTTGGCAGGGATGGATTTACAATGCAAATACTGTCCTGAGTTGAAGTGTTTAGGATCTGAAGGGCTAAAACCAGACCAGGGTCTGGAGGCTGCTGCCCAGCCCTTGAACTTTGAAACTCAGCCAAGGCTAGTTGCTTCATCCTGCCTCTTCTGAAGGGACCTGGGATCCTTAAAAGAGCTTTTCTCTGCAGGTGGCAAACACAGCAGCCCGGGGACTTCAGTAGCTATGGCCTCCTGCGCAGACTCGGATAATAGTTGGGTGCTTGCTGGTTCAGAGGTAGGAAGATTGGACATGGGGACCCCCATGGAAGGAGATTCCTACAGGGTTGGGGTGTTTTCTGGGTTTGTCCCCATCTTTGGTCCTGACAGTCACTTGCATTGATTTTTACTGGCTCTGGGAGGAGATCAAGTCCCAGAGGCTGTTGAAGAAGTCCTCATGGGAAAGGTGTTAGGACTTTACAATGGTACAAGGGTACAAGGGTACCATTTGAGTAAGCTGAGAGGTTATGGGCAGAGCCTGGGGCCCCCTGGAAGACACCTGGTGGGTCTGGTGGAGAAGGCATCTGGGCCCCAACCCAATAGGAAACTGTGAAGACCTTTGAGTTGGAGGGTGCCAGGACAATCATTGGGAGGATGAAGCCACCATGTGACTAGGTAGGAATAGGGAGAGTGTTTTGAGGGCTCTGTTAGGGCTCCAGATCAGAGTTGGTGAACTCTCATGCCACCTGAAGCCACTGAGAAGGATGAAAGGGGCTGGCAGGATGGGGGCTTGATGATCTAGAAAGGGAATGGAGACATTTTGTCAAAGGGATCGCTCAGAGTTCCAAGCCCCATTGACTTTAGTGTATTAGAAGGGAAGAAGGTGAGAGTTTAGTGTAGACATACTGAGTTTGCGGTGCCTTTGAGGAGCTGAGCTGCAAGTGAGAAATCTCAGGGATGATGTTGGAGCAGGACACATAGATTAGGACTCCCTGGCAGAGGAGGAGGAAGAGGTGGAGAAGGACAGGCACCATGCTTGCAGTCAGAGCCCTGTCCTGGTAGGGTGCCTTTGCTGACAGCTGGGGGACCTTGGGTAAGCCATTTCACCTCTGTCCTTTCCTATAAAATGATTCTTGCCTTGTAGAGGTTGTTGTTAAGTTCTGTTGAGTCAGTTGACTCATTGTGACCCTGAATAGGGCTTCTGAGAACCAGCTGGTAGATTTGAACTGCTTGACTTTGTGGCTAGCAGGCCAGTGCTGATCCTACAGTGCCATGCTTGCCAAGGTGTTTTGAAAATTATAAAGGAACATATTAAGGTCAAGAATTATTCTTGGAAGAGTAGTGGGAACCATGGATAGGATAGGCAGGCAGTGGGAGGTATGTAGGGAGAGGCCAGGACTGGATGGCCAGACCTAGTGCCCCATGAGGACAGGGTCAGCCTCACTGTGGTCAACTTCTGTGAGCAACTGCCTTCAGAAGAGAGGTGGGTGGGAGTGAGTGATGGGCCAGTGGCAAAGGGCAGAAAATCTTGGAAGATATAAATGGGAGGCCAGTTATGTGTGAAGGAAGCCCCTGGATCACACAAAGCTGTGATCCTTGGGTGCCCAAGAGATTCTGTTCTCTTGTCGCCTGTCTACCCCCAACCAATAACCAGATTGTTCATTTGTCAGGAAAGGAAGTACTGATGGTCTTGGGCGGGGGTTCCCAGGCTCTAGCCTCTAGCTGGCTTCCCTCCCGGGGTGCCAAGTTTGTACATTTGCTGCTACTGTCTGACTCCTTTCCTTGGTCCAAGTGGGCTGATTTGTTTAAGGGAAACTGGCTTCCAAAGCTGCTTAGAGCAGCAAGGGAGATTAGGGGGTGGGCAAAGGCCCTATGTCTGAGCTGAGGTGCCGTGCTACCACCCCTGCCACTTCGGTTTGGCTCATTACCCAGTGTATCTTTGTAAGATATGGGTTGGGATTCCTGAGTTGTGTTGCCAGACCCAGGGGCCCTAGCAAAGCACCCATGCTCCTGGTTTTGTCTTGTTGTCTTTTCTCTGGGGCAGCCCTTCTGCTCACACCCTTCCCCTCAGAGTTTGCCTGTGGAGACCCTGGGCCCAGAATCCAGGATGGACCCAGAATCTGGCCTGGATCCCCAGGCCCTTCCAAGCCTCTCCAAGGCAAATGGTGAAGAATTAACAGGGACCTTGGATAGAGAAGGTAATGGGGCCCTGCTGAGTGTGGGGGTGTAGCTACCTCTCCTCCATGTTCTGGGATTTCACAGATTCTTTTGGAAAGAGGGGATAGTTGAAGTGGTTAGTCTATTTCCCCCATTCATCTCAGTTTGCAAACTCCTTCCATCATTCTGGGCATTTTCTTGCCCCTTCCAACCTGGCAGGGCTCTGTGGGAGCCAGGGAGCTGTGGAGAGAGTTCAGCTTGGGGGTGAGGTGGTTATTATTTTTTTCTGAGCCTTTTCTCTTTACCACAGGGACCCTGTTCAAGAGTGAAGGCTCCCAGCCTGGGCCCATTCCTCCAGAAGAGACTAAAGCCAAGGTGAGGACCTTCACTTGGGGGAGGGGGGGGAAGGAGGGAGGAGGGAAATGGAGGAGGACTAGGAGCTGCTCACAGCTGTTTCTGTATCAGGGCGTCATGGAAGGTGATGGTTGTGATGTGAAGCCCCCTAGCCCAGAAGACATGGTGGTCCAGGGTGACTTGCAGGAGACCCCCCTGGTGGCAGATCTGGGACTGGATACACAGGGCATGGAGGACCAGAGTCCGCCACAGAGCCTGCCCTCATCCCCCAAGGCAGGTGAGAGTCCTCCTGGTCTCCTTTTGTTACTTACCTTCTAGAAAGTATGGTCTTGGCCTTGGGTTGGTGTCCTCCTTAAATTATAGCAGTGAATCATCACCACCATCCTTTGAGGACAGTGAGGCCCAGAGAGGTTAGGTGACTTGTCCATAACCACATAGCTGATGAGTGGCAGAGCCAGGTCTGGTTGACTCTTTTCTGGCATGGGACCTTTTCTCTCTCATCCTGTCTCTTTCTCTCTCTTTTCCCTCTTTTCTTATTGTCTCTATAATTCAATCTTCAATCCCTGAGTCTCTTCCATGTGCTGGTTCTGGTCCCAGGAAAGGGAGGATGGTGGTTCATGGCCTATGTAAGAGACGGACCAAGCCTGACTGAGCCAAGATACAAGTTAGGCCTAAGAAATGTGCAAAAAGGTGGTGGTGGTGCTATATGATGACCATTGGACTGCTAAAGGCAGGCTTGGCAGTTCCAACTTCCCGGAAGCCCTATACAGGGTTACTGTGAGTTGGAACCACCTCAACAGCACTTAACAACAACAAAGGAAGAGGAGGAGTGTTTACTTAGATGATGGGCTGAGGGGAAGGAAGAGAAAGGTACAGTTGGGAAAAGGTTCATACTGTCGGTGATTTTTGAACAGAGTCTGAAGCAAAGAATAGGCTTTTGATAGGTAGGGCAGGAGAAAGAGAACATTCCAGGCCAAGGCTCCAGGATCTGCAAAGGATGGTCCACTCCAGGATGTGGGTCTGGGGGATGAGAGGAAGGGGATAGGGTTGGAAAGAGCAATTGGGGGCAGGTTGTATAGCGTTCATGCCCCATACTACGAAAGTTGTTTCCAAGGCCTGTGACTGAGGAGTGGCACAGATCCATCTGCACTGAAGAGTGACAGTGTGGAGGAAGAGGCCAGGGCCATGGAGATGACTGTAGCCGGTGGGCCGAAGGGGATGAAGGTCTGAACTAAGGTGGTTGCAGTGGTTGAGGAGAGGAATGGAGATGTTCAAGTGTGGAATTGTCAAGACTTGTCTGGGTGTGGGGTGAAGAGGGAGGCCTTGGGTTTGCACTAGATGGTACCAGTGAATCTTTCCCTGGTTGGGGAACCCCAGAAAAGAATCAGTTTGGAGGGCATTGTATTGCCCCTGATGGACATCCAGATGGAAATGGCCTACTGTAGGCAAGGAAGACATATAGTTGTGGCACTCAAAGGAAGCCAGGTCAGGAGTGACCAGTCAGGGACTCATCTGCTGTGAGTGAGGCAGCTAGTTGGTGACTGTGTGTATAATGGGAAGAACAAAAGAACCAGAAATGGTACTCGGAGACCATCACCCTTAGGACAGGCAAGAGTTGGAGAGGGAGGCCGAGGAGTGACCAGAGTTAGGAGGGAGACAGGAGGGTGGGTGGGAATACCTACAGGAACTTGATGGGGAGGCACATGTTGAAGAAGGAGCATGCTTTACGATGAAAGTGGCTCTTGTAGTGTATAGGTTGAAGGGACTGATCTCTTGTGCCTTCTATACTAGGCAGAAGCAGTTTTCAAGGCAGAAGTGGTCAGGGTCTTCCTGTGTCCTCTCTGCAGTCAGTGGGGGGAGGAGATGGAGGCAGAGCCTCGCTATACCTTCCTCTACTACTCCCTCTCTCATTACGTTCTGTCACTCCACTGGCCTCATTGCCCTGCCCCCATTCTTCCCTCCAGCTCAGATCATGGAAGACTTCTGCTTCTCCAGCAGTGAGGACGACACCGACATAGATGTGGAAGGCCTGCGGAGACGGAGAGTCCGGGACCCCAGCCCTCCTCGGCCCTCAACATCGATGGGGATAGAGGACCAGACAGGGAGCGAGGGTGTGGTTGGGGAGTTGGGCATCTCTCTCAACATGTGCCTCCTTGGAGCTTTGGTTCTGCTGGGCCTGGGGATTCTCCTCTTCTCTGGTGAGTGGTACCTCTCTGCTGAGGCCATGGGCCTCTACTCTGACCCCTTCAGTTCTGCCTCTTAATGCATTCTTACCCTGTCCCTTTGCACCCTCCCCCCTTCGGGCCTTGTTGGACTCCTCTGTCTGCATCCTCAGGTGGCTTCTCAGAGTCTGAGACTGGTGAGTGAATTGGGTTCCTGGCCTTGTGTGTCTGCCCTCTCCCATACCTGAGGGAGGCAGTGATGGTGAGTGGGCTTCTCAGGGTCAGGAGTAGCAGTGCTGGTGCTGTGGGGTTGCTCAGTTATTGCTCAGTTATTGGCCTTGCCAGCTGTTCAGGTCAGCCTTGGCCCTCTGCACCACTGAATTTCTCAGTCAGAGGGTTGGTCCATGACAGGAGGAGTAAGTGAGTGTGTGTGTGGGGGGGTGGTGGTGGTGGGGTGAGGTAGGGGGTGGTGGTGGTGGTGAAGGAGGGAGGGAGTGAACTTTGTGGGCCCCTTTTATAACCTGAGACACTCAGGAGTTGGTTCTTGTCCTATTCCCCATTCCTGCTTTATACCAGACCCTAAATTCTATCCTGGGCCTCAGCTTCTCTCTTCTTATCTAAGCACACATTTTAGATTCACTATAGGGTGAACACTGGGCCTCAAGATCAAGTTGAACCATCAGTTTGGTGGTTCAAACCTGCTAGGTGCTCCTGAGAAACCCTACATAGGGTCACTATGAGTCAGAATCAACTCAACTTCACTTAGCAACAACCAAAGCATAGCCAGTATGTGGCTCACTTGGCTATGTTTCCACATCACATCCCTGGCACAGACATTGTTAATTGAGCACAGAACTCCTCTCCCACTGAGCCAGTTTCAGGACCTCCCTTTCCTGCAGGGTCCATGGAGGAAGTGGAGCTGCAGGTCTTCCCGGATCCTGGCTCAGATACTGAGTTGCAGGGTGCTGTGGGAGATGGGCAGGTATGTGTGACTATCTCCATAGGTCTGTGAGGCCTAGTCGGGGAGAATGGGTCCTGCCTGGGTCAGTGAGACAGGGTAGCTGGAGTAACGGGCTCCTTTGACCTCAGGATGGACCAGGAGAGCAGCTACAGACCTCAGCACCCCCTGGCAGTGTCCCCAGCCTGCAGAACATGGCCCTTCTGTTGGACAAGCTGGCCAAGGAGAACCAGGATATCCGGCTGCTGCAGGCCCAGCTACAGGTGGGCACAGGTGGGAGGGTGGGCTGGGCCAACCTTCCCTGGGCCAGGTTTCTGTCATAGTGTCTTTCCCACATATGAATCCTCTCCCCCCGCCACTTTCCATACCTTCATCCTCTCCTCTTCCCACTTGAGTCAAGACATCTTCAATTTTTTTTTTTTGTATGAAATAAGTGTTTATTGAAATATTGAAGTATACAATTATATATTATTGTTATGAATTGCTGTTAAATAGATGCCAACTCATGGTGACCCCACATGTACACAGTAGAAATATATACCATAGGGTTTCCAAAGCTTTGACATTTTGGAAGCAGCTTATGGAAATATGGATGAGTTCATATCACCAGCCTTTTGGCTGGTTATTATTAAGAGCCATCAAGTCACTTCCTACTCATAGAGACACTGTATGGAGGCCTGGTGTGGTGCTTTAGGATCAGTACTAGGACTACTAACTACAAGGTTGGATCTTCATAGTTTTTGATTCCCATTTCTCATGCTGAGGTTTAGGCCAGGGCTGGTAGTACCTGTTTCACATGACATGCCCTCTCTGATTGATTGATAGGGTCTGCCTGGAGCGTTGTGAGGAGAAGGATTTGAAGAACATGTTAAGGCTCAGTGGGAAAGCTGTGCTGTGCTCAATTGACAATGTCTATTCTGAGGATAGGAGGTGGGAATAGGGCCATGAGAGCAATAGATTGGCTGTCATTAGTAGACAAAGATGGAGAAGCTGAGGCCCAGGATGGAATGTGGGGATCCCATGGTCTGATGCAGGGCAAGATGGGAAATAGGATGAAAATGAAATCCTCTGAGTATCACAGGCCATAAAAGGAGCTTGGGCCTCATGCCCACTATGACAGAATTGAATTAGGGTCAAGTGTATTGAGCTCAGCGTAAGGATTTCTTGTGGTTCCCCCTGTCCTATTTTGTCCCCATTCCAGGCCCAGAAGGAGGAGCTCCAGAGCCTGATGCATCAACCCAAAGGGCTGGAGGAGGAGAATGCCCAGCTCCGAGGGGCCCTGCAGCAGGGTGAGGCCTCCCAACGGGCCCTGGAGTCAGAGCTGCGTCAGCTGCGGGCCCGGCTTCAGGGGTTAGAGGCTGACTGTATTCGAGGCCCAGATGGGGTGTGCCTCAGCTGGGGCAGAGGCTTCCAAGGTAGCAAGGTCACTGAGGGGCAAGGCCCCAGGGAGCAGAAGTCAGGCCCTGGCTTCCTGAAACAGAAGGAGCAGCTGGAGAATGAGGCCCAGGTACTAAGGCAAGAGTTGGAGAGGCAGCGACAGCTTCTGGGATCTGTGCAGCAGGATCTGGAGCAGAGCTTGCGGGAGGCTGGCCGAGGGGACCCAGCCCATTCTGGCTTGGCCAAGCTGGGCCATAGACTGGTCCAGAAGCTGCAGGACCTACAGAGCTGGAGCCAGGATCCTGGGGCCTCTGTCAATGTCTCAGGGACCCGTGCTCAGGAACTCCACTTTCAAAGTTCCAGAGAGAAAAGTGGGAAGGAAAAGTGGCAGAGTGGGCAGGGAGACCGCAAGGCTGAGCATTGGAAGCATAAGAAGGAGGTATCTGGCCAGGAAAGAAAGAAGAGCTTGGAGGGTGAGGACAGGGAGCGGGCAGCGAAATGGAAGGAGAGCAAATCAAGGGATGAAGAGTGGGAAGGCAAGAAGGATGGCAAGCCACACAGAGGCCCCAAGGAGCTACCAAGGAAAAGTGGGAGTCCTCACTCCTCCAGAGAAAAGCAGAAGCATCCTCGGTGGAGGGAAGGGGCCAAAGACAGGCATGACCCCCTGCCACCCTGGACAGAGCTGTTGAGGCACAAGTACCGAGCACCCCAGGGCTGCTCAGGTGTGAACGAGTGTGCACGGCAGGAGGGTCTGGCTTTCTTTGGCGTGGAGCTAGCCCCCGTGCGCCAACAGGAGCTAGCCTCTCTGCTGAGGACATACCTGGCGCGGCTGCCCTGGGCTGGGCAGTTGACTGAGGAGCTGCCTCTCTCACCTGCTTACTTTGGTGAGGATGGCATCTTTCGCCATGACCGCCTCCGCTTCCGGGATTTTGTGGATGCCTTGGAGGACAGCCTGGAGGAGGTGGCTGTGAGGCAGACAGGGGATGATGATGAGGTGGATGACTTTGAGGACTTCATCTTCAGTCACTTCTTTGGAGACAAAGCACTGAAAAAGAGGTGGGGAGCTGTGTGGGAGTTGAGTCTGGTGGGACAAGGGGATGGATGTAAAGGCACAAGGGCCCTGAGTGGGAGGTTATCACTTTGAGATCTCAACCTTTCAGTCCCCTACAGTCTTTCCTTAGAGAAGGTATCCATCCAGCTGAGCTTGCAGTCTTTTCCTGAGGGCAGGAAGTTACTTGGGCTCACCCTAGTGTGATCCCGGGTTCTCTTTCAGGGTTGGGGGAATTTTCTTGCTCTCCCTATACCTGCATATACCCAGGGTAAAGGGGATTACTTCCTGCCTTTCTGCCTCTCTGACTAGCGCCTTCATCCTGGGAGACCTGGTCTGCTTGGTGGTAGCCGGTGCTTGGTGGTAGCCGTGTGTGTTGGCTTCTTGAGGAGGGAGTCAGGGTTCCTCTCCTCAGGATTGTCCTCTTATGACCTTTTCCTGCTCTCACCCCATGTTTCCCCACAGGTCAGGGAAGAAGGACAAGCATTTCCGGAGCCCCAGAGTTTTGGGGCCTAGGGAGGAGCACAGCCACCACCACAAGGGCTGAGGCCCTGCCCCATCAGGGGAATCACCTGGTCTGCTCCTCGGGTTCTCCAACCCCTCCACCCCTGCGTCTGGGGCTCAGACTAGCACTGCCCTTGTTTGGTGAGGGTATCCTTGGTGAGGGGTTGCACTCGCAGAGGAGAGCAAACTCACCCACACCTGCACTGATTCCACTTTTGCTAGAAAAAGGCCTTAGCTGGACTGCCAGTCTATCTATGCAAATGTATGCAAATGCGTGGGGCCCTGGGTCAGGACCCTTGGCAGCCTGAATGTGTTATGTCAGTATGAAATGCGGAGATGGCAGAGGAGTCTGTTGTATTTTTTCTTAAATGGAGTAGGGGGAAGAGCTTTCTGATTGAAGCTAAAGCACATTCACTCTGTTTTGTGGGTGTGTGTGCATGACCCAGAGGGACCCCTTTAACCTCACATACTGACCTAGTGCCCATTGGGATCGGACTAGAGTTGCTGGCTGGAGGCCTAGCTTCCCTTGGGGTCTTGTTAGATTTGAAAGTAGCTGTTCCCAGGGTGGTGAAGCCCCCCTTTAGCCCCTGCTTTGCATATGACCTCACTTCCTTGTGTGAACTGTAGACTCAGATCCCAATAAAAAGCTGTTGGAGCTATGGCCTTGGGTGGGGGCTCTGTCATTTGGGTTGCTCTCTGAGCATAGGGGCACACCCTAGGCACTGATACTTGCCCCTTCTTCTACTTGTCCCCTTTCCCCTAACCCTATACTTCCAATGAGTCTTAGACGCAATGAGTTGGAACTTCTTCGTTTTGATCACAGCTGCCCTTGCTACACTCCTAGGAGATATAGAAAAATGAGGGAGGTTTTGGAGACTTGAGTCTTGGGCTGAAATTCAGGCTGTATGGTTTTGGGCACATTGGATAAGCCCTGGACTGCTAATCTCAAAGTTGGCCGTTTGAATCTACAAGTCACTTCTTGGAAACCCTATACAGGGCTCACTATGAATTGGAACCAACTTGACAGCACTTAATAATGACAACAATCTGCAAAAGTCTTAGGTTTCTCATGTTCAAAGAAGGGGATTGAAGGGCTGGGGGACAGAGCAAATAATGTAAATAAAATGTCTGTGCCATATCTAACTCTCAAAGATTGTCTTGTTTTCTTTGCGAGATCAGGTGGTAGAGACGGGCATTGCTTAGGTTGGCGTTACCCAGTGTGGTATCACATGGGTTACCCTTCCCCTCCCAGACCATTCAGAATCATTAGTAATTTTTTTTTTTTTTAAACCACTATTATCCATAGAGTCCTGGTGTTACACTGTAGGATAAGCACTATAGGACAAGGTTGGTTTGAACTACAAGGTCGGTGGTTCAAAAGCACCAGCTGCTCCTTGGAAACTCCATGAAGGGTTGCTATGAGTTGGAACTGACTCATGGCACTTCATAACAATAGCATTGCCCATGAGAAGGCAGTGGCTCTGTACAGTTGTTGTTGTTAAGTGCTGTCAAGTTGGGTCTGACCCTATAAGGTCCATGTATAGGATTTCCGAGGAGCAAGTGATGGGTTTGAACAGTTGACCTTGTAGTTTACAGTCCAGTGCTTATCCTACAGTACTATACCAGAAGTCTGTAAGCTAGGTACTAGATTGCTAATCACAGGGTTGGTGGTTCGAACCCATCAACCACTCTTTAGGAGAAAGATGGGGTTTTCTGCTTCCGTAAAGATTTATATCCTAGGAAACCCTATAAAAGAGTCACTATGAGTTGGAACTCGAAGACAGTTAATGATAGCAACAACACTACTACCCATAAATCATAATCCCCATGTATCACTGAATGTAATGGTAACAGTAGTGAGATAAACAACTAGCAAAATTAATGCGTGCAGACGAAACTTCATGATTTAAAGCTTTGTTGTAATTGGGTGGTAATGACAGATCTGACCAGGTGGTAGTGTGCCATTGAGTCATAAGGACCCTGCATAGGGTTTCCGAGGCTGTAAATCTCAATGGGAACAGAAGGCCTCATCTTTCTCTTGCGGAACAGTTGGTAGTTTCGAACTGCAGAACTTGAGGTTAGCCACCTGACTCGTAACCACTGTGCTACCAGAGCTCCTTTAGAGTCCATCTGAAGGTTTAAAAAGGAAATTAGCATAGAGTTTTGGCCTTGTAGGCCAAACAATATACAAGTTTTGACCTTGCATATTGATGGATATAAACTGGGATTAGTTATAACTAACTAAAGGAATATTCTTAATAAAGAATACATTGTTATTGAAACACTGCATGGAAATTTTATAGACTTATTTTGGTATCACCCCTCTGACAGTGTCACCTGGTGTGGTCTGCACCCCTGCACTCGTCCTAAGGAGGCGTCTGTGGAGGAAGGAAAGGACCTCCTTTCCTCTGCTCTGGGCTCCCAGGCCACTACGGTTGGGGAGGTGAGGGAGCCACTAGATGGCGCTCTAGCCCCACATTTTCTCCAGACCTCTCCTCCCCCCTCTTGTTGAGTGCTGTCGAGTCGGTTCCGACCCATAGCGACTATGTATAGGGTTTCCGAGGAGTAGCTGGTGAGCTTGAACAATCGATTTTGCAGTTCAAACGGCTTGCAGTCTGGTGCATTAACCCACAGCGCCACACCAGGACTCCGTTCCTCGCCCCCACTACCTACTGCTTAATTTCCAGAAATCTCCGAAGCCATCCTAATGACCCTTTGCCTGTGCCATTTACTAACTCTCCCATGAAGATTCAGATTCCTCTTGGCTACTGGTGTGGCTCTGTAGGCTAATACGTCAGAATTGCAAGGTCGGTGGTTGAAGTTCACCAGCTGCTCCTTGGAAACCCGATATAGTGTCGTTATGGGTGGGAATCGACTCCTGGTGTGGCGCTTTGCACTGGACTGCAAAGTCGATTTGAACCGCAAGATCAGCAGTTCAAGCTACCTGCTGCTCCTGGGAAACCTTGTCGCTATGGGTCGGAACCGACTCGACGACACTTAACAACAACAACTATTTAGGAAGTTCTTTCAGAGATTACATCAATCTAGTTGGCAGCACACTGGGCCTTTGACTACCCTGAAAATTCCCCAGTCTATGCAGGGGACAGAATGACGTGTGACTGCTCCGACCAGGGCAGGGGAACACTCTCAGTTAAGGAGTGGAAGGATTGCAGGCCCCATAGGGGCTTTGACTGATTCCTATGTTATTTAGAAAATACTTTGTTTCAGGCACTTTTAAAGGTCTTTACATGGTTTATCTCAGTACATTCCAGCATGAGGGGTGGTGGAAGGGGAAGAACAAGGACCATTCATCAGCCAGGTCTAGGCTCTGGGAATACAAAGGTTCTTCAAGGAGAATATAGTCCATTGGGGAGGGTTATCACTTGCTTTCCTCGATAAGGGACTCCAGTTAGATGGGAGGAAGAATTTCTTCTCAGGCAGAGGATCAGTGAGTGATAGTGGCTGGGGGATCAGAAGGGGAGATGGGAAGGAGTCTATTTCTGTCAAGAGGAACAAGTATAGACTGACCTAACTTTACTTTAAGGAGCTCTGGGGCGGGGGGTAGTGGTTACTAATCAGGCTGCAAACCTAAAGGTCAGCAGTTTGAAACTACCAGCTGTTCCATGGGAGAAAGATGAGGCTTTCTGCTCCTGTAAAGATTTACAGCCTGGGAAACCCTGTACAGGGTCACTATGAGTCGGTACTGACTTCAGAGCACATCACCATCACCACCACCACCAGTTTTACCTTACTCATATTGCCTTGCCTTCTAACCAAAAAACCAAACCAAACCAGTTACCCACGAGTCAATTCTGACTCATGGTGACCCCGTATGTTAGAGTAGAATTGTGCTGGGAGACTGGAGCAGAGGGACAGGCACTGGAGTCCCCTCTTGCCAGGGACTGCTCCTGATCTGGGGACAAGGGGAGAGGAGGCAGTCCGAGGGAGACCCATTGAACCCTGCCACACATTCCTGCTTGGCCTCCCATCTGGTTTGGGCTCTTCCAGACTAAGCTCTTAGTTAGCACTTCTGGCACTTTTTAATCATTTCCTCTGGGGCTTTCTGAGTTCCCCCACCCCAAGAAGGGACTTGCCAGTCCAGGATCTCAGGAGGCCTTGGGAAAAATCACTGAAGTTGAGTTGGCTTTCTTGGACTTTCCCCTCTCAAATGGAAAAGTTCGACTTTATTTGGTCAGTTCCCAAAACTCATTTCCCAGCTTGCCACGCAAACTGCCTTTTCTCCCTCCCATTCCTGCCCCTCCTTCTTCAGCCTTCGCTTCGTTTCCCTGACTCCTCCTTCTCCCTCCTTCTCCCCCAGTGTCAGTTCAAACCCACCAGCCTCCTTGGAAACCCTATACAGGGCCGCTATGGGTTGGAACCCATTCGACAGCACAAAACAACAACAAACTTTCTATTACCTATGTCTCGTTTAGCCCTATTACCTCCTCTAGGATGTCCCTAGCCTGTTTGTTCTTGCCTTCCCAGGTCCTGCCAAGTCCCAACCTTTCCACTTTCATTATCCTGAGGTTGTGGATGGACAAGTGGCAGAGGCAGCATGTGGTAGTAAGCCACCTTCAGACCTGTGGCACCTCATCAGCTCCTCCAGAACCAGAGGAATGTGTTCCTGTAGATAGCTGCTCCTAGCTCCATCCACTCACCCATCGACAGAGGCTGGACTGGCTAGCTATTGCCCCAGGAACATCCTCCCCAGCCTGGTCTGGGACCACAGATGTTCTGGGCCCTTCCTGTGTTCACAGCAGACTCTGGTGGGGACACTGAAAAATCAGGGGTCAGGAGTGATACCTTCAACCCAAGAAAGAACTTTCCTTGTTCCGCTTCATCATTCACCAATTCAGGCTCATGTCTGAGTTCCCTGGAACCTTCCCACTCACTGTTCTTTATCTTGGGTCAGGTGGGGACCCAGTCTAGAACTATTCTAGTCAGAAACTTAACCTGGACAGGCTTTGACATTGGAATCCAGACTCTCAGGTCTCTATCGCTGCCTCCCTGCAGGTTCTAAGCAAGCTGTCTCCTCTATAGCTT